TAAGCAGAATATTAAACATGGTGGAAGTGCTGCTGCTTCTGCCTTGAGACTTTTGTGTCACGATGAGACCATTTACATGACTGATTTTATTAATGACCCAACTGCTGCCATAATTGGTTTACTATGCAAATGTGATAACAGCAGCTCAGTCTGTGTGGATCTTATATCATTTTAGATCCACACTGCTTGTTGTAGCGTTGTGAATAGTTATTTACTCAAATCATAATGTGTTTGTATTTACATAAACAGAATATAAGTGTGTGTTTCTATTGTGAATGTCATGTGTGGCTTTTTATACGCGTAAATGACCGGTTTTGTGTGCATCCTTCCTAGGTATCAGCTGAATAAGATTGTGGTGGACACGGAGGCGGGCCCACATCGAAACCGCACAGTCCTTTTCCTTGGCTCCAGTCGCGGGTCTATCCTCAAGTTTCTCATCATGCCCAACCCAGACAACACGGTCACCAGCAGCAGCGTCTTCTTAGAGGAGCTGGAAGGATTCAACCCGGAGAAGTAAGAAATGCAAACACACCGCACGCGTTTGCAAGAATAATATTATGCAAGCTTGAGTAATGACCCCGGGGTGGACTCACCGAGGAGCTGTGGCGGCGGGGTATCGCTCAAGAAAAACAGACGCGACTAGAGCAAACATGCCATGTCCGAGATAATGTGCCTTGAATAATGCAGAAAGTGTAACCTATTCTAGCACAGGCACATCATAATGCAAGTATGAGCCCCATGCAGCAAATACAAATAGGCAAGGCAAGGCAAGTTTATTTATATAGCACAATTCATACACGAGGCAATTCAAAGTGCTGAACAAAACAAGAAAGCATTAAAATCATAAATAATCACAGAACATTAAAAAGAAAGATACAAATATAAAATCCCTCAGTTGTATGCACAGCTGAACAGAACTGTCTTTAACCTGGTTTTAAACATTGTCAGAGAGGAGGCCTGTCTCACATCTTCAGGAAGACTGTTCCAGATTTTAGCAGCATGAATCTGAAAAGCTGCCTCCCCATGTTTAGTTCTGAGTCTGGGCACTAACAGGAGTCCAGTCCCTGTGCTCCTCAGAGTCCCAGCAGGAGTCCAGTCCCTGTGCTCCTCAGAGTCCCAGCAGGAGTCCAGTCCCTGTGCTCCTCAGAGTCCCAGCAGGAGTCCAGTCCCTGTGCTCCTCAGAGTCCCAGCAGGAGTCCAGTCCCTGTGCTCCTCAGAGTCCCAGCAGGAGTCCAGTCCCTGTGCTCCTCAGAGTCCCAGCAGGAGTCTAGTCCCTGTGCTCCTCAGAGTCCCAGCAGGAGTCCAGTCCCTGTGCTCCTCAGAGTCCCAGCAGGAGTCCAGTCCCTGTGCTCCTCAGAGTCCCAGCAGGAGTCCAGTCCCTGTGCTCCTCAGAGTCCCAGCAGGAGTCTAGTCCCTGTGCTCCTCAGAGTCCCAGCAGGAGTCCAGTCCCTGTGCTCCTCAGAGTCCCAGCAGGAGTCCAGTCCCTGTGCTCCTCAGAGTCCCAGCAGGAGTCCAGTCCCTGTGCTCCTCAGAGTCCCAGCAGGAGTCTAGTCCCTGTGCTCCTCAGAGTCCCAGCAGGAGTCTAGTCCCTGTGCTCCTCAGAGTCCCAGCAGGAGTCCAGTCCCTGTGCTCCTCAGAGTCCCAGCAGGAGTCTAGTCCCTGTGCTCCTCAGAGTCCCAGCAGGAGTCTAGTCCCTGTGCTCCTCAGAGTCCCAGCAGGAGTCCAGTCCCTGTGCTCCTCAGAGTCCCAGCAGGAGTCTAGTCCCTGTGCTCCTCAGAGTCCCAGCAGGAGTCCAGTCCCTGTGCTCCTCAGAGTCCCAGCAGGAGTCCAGTCCCTGTGCTCCTCAGAGTCCCAGCAGGAGTCCAGTCCCTGTGCTCCTCAGAGTCCCAGCAGGAGTCCAGTCCCTGTGCTCCTCAGAGTCCCAGCAGGAGTCCAGTCCCTGTGCTCCTCAGAGTCCCAGCAGGAGTCCAGTCCCTGTGCTCCTCAGAGTCCCAGCAGGAGTCCAGTCCCTGTGCTCCTCAGAGTCCCAGCAGGAGTCTAGTCCCTGTGCTCCTCAGAGTCCGGGCTGGTTCATATGGGACTAACATGTCACTAATATATTTTGTTGCGAGGCCATGGAGAGACTGAAGGCACTGAAAAATGGCGTTATGTGTCTAATATCCACTATCAGCAGAATCTGTGCTGCTAATGAGGAGGCTGCATGATGGGGAAAAGCAGTGTGAGAAATGGGTCCAAATGAGGTGGAATGAAGACAAAGGCTTTATCTGTCGTCTGTCCAGAATGACGTGTGAACTGATGGATTGGCCTTTTGTGGAGACGGTTCATTTTCCTGATCTTGACATGAGATCGTTTCAACCGCTCAGACAGCAGACTTGATTACACGACAATAGGTTGCGTTTGTGTTGTAGAAATGTGGTTCAGTTGGAGGGCAGGTGCAAGTACCACTAACAGTTTATGTAACCCGCCTTATTATTCTTCTGTCTGGCAGCTTTTTCACCCTCACTCAGCCAATCTGCTCTTCGCCCCAGAGCGTTAAAATAGTGACTCACAGGCGAGCTAAAGTATGCAAAAGACAAAATGTTTTCTAATGAGATCAATATGTCTTTGATAGAGATTTGTCTAGAAAAAATGTAGCCTGGTCTTATCCATCCGTACTCTCCGCTCAGTCATCATTTCACTGCATGTAACGTCTGGGTCTGGTCCCTGTGTTAGCGAATACAATCGGTTGAATTCCGACCGACCAATCACAGAGCGCGGGAGGCGGGTGTTGTAGTTAGATGTGAATGACGTCAAGAGTTTGCGTCGAGCGGGAAGGTCGTAGTTCGGCAATGGGGAAGAATGCGATAGTAAAGTAATCCGGTCTGGTTCTATCAAGAAATTGAAGCCGGAGCAAGAGGAATGTTTAGCAAATGTAATCACTAGAAAAAATTGTGGCGCTACTCCCCACGGGCTCCGTTAGCGGCAAAGGAGATGGCTAAAGCTAGGGCTAAATGCTAACGACTCACTCGGGCGCATTACAAACGTCACGGTAAACTCAGATCCAATCGTTTTAATCTGCAAAAGGAGTTAACCCCTCCCACCTGTTCACGGAGTCAATGGAGCAGACCAGACCTTAGTAGGAAATGTAATCTGTACTATGGTGTGGTACGACCAGGCTAGAAAAAATGTGACACCAATATACATTTATAGACTTGAGTGCCATATGCAAGTGACATCTGATGATAATGTCTTACAGTCCATTTTAAAACTGTCGGGACAAACAATGGAATATTTATTTATTTATTTATTTAAATTGTGGACATAACTATGCATCACTTACTACAGATACATTTCCAATAATTGTCGTCTTGTCGCACAAATGAAAAGGAGCAGAAAGAAGAAAAAAAATGTTGCCTGCCCCTTTCTTCAAACATGTAAATAAAAAATAAGATTGCCTTCAGCACTTCTTCAAACTGTTTTTATTTTTATGTTTTTTATCATATAGTTATTTTCTCCTTTTTTTTCTTTTTCTAATCATTCATTTCATACAATTTCACTGGATTTTTTTCTCAACAAAATGTGGATGTTTGCGGAATTTTTTATTTCATAGTCGAGTTGATTCCATAACTTTACTCCGACCACTGATTTTCCCATGTGTTTCTCGGTGGTTCTGGCAAAAATATTCAGGGGGAGTTTGGTTCCCCTGCTAAATGTAGACAAAAAAATATGTTCAAACCCCAAAGCCTGCCCCCTCAGGCATCTCTCAACCCTGCAGCTACGACTCAAACTCACCAATTAGGGATTTGAGCCACTGCCGCAGACAGGATGGATGATAGAGACGCTGGGTCAGGGGTCAGTGACAGCTCAGTCCACTGCAGGCGTCGGGCTAATCAGCAGACCTGCCACATGGAGCTTTCTGAGGGTTGTTGCCTCACCTGGTGGTCCTGGAGGTGTCCAGAGCCTCACAGAGCATCAGGGTTAATCTGCCACATGGTCTGCACTCGAAAGGACTCCTGCGGTGTGTTTTGGTCAACAAATGTATCCTCAAATAAAGCCTGTCACAACTTCTAGACATCACAATAGTATAAGACCATAGTTGATATGTACTGACATGTTGAGCTGTGGGACCGGTTTTTTTGTTTTTGTTTTTGTTTGTGGAAAATTACATTAAGCGACATTAAGCATTAGCTCTAAACTAGGACTAGAAATCTCAGTTTTGACAATCAATCAGACAAAGTTTATTTTTAGAGCGCCTTCCCTACACAAGGCAACACAAAGCGCCTCACAACCCACATCATATCCAGCAAATCATAAACATTAAAATCTACATATACATAAAAACACAAGAAATATTAAAATCAGATTAAAAACACAAGTAATTAAAAACCTTAAAACATTAAAAACACACACAGGATAAAAATAATGTATAGCCACAATGCACTAAAAAGAGTAAATATAAAATATAAAAAATATAAAATCCCTCAGTTGTAGCACAGCTAAACAGAACTGTCTTTAACCTGGTTTTAAACATTGTCAGAGAGGAGGCCTGTCTCACATCTTCAGGAAGACTGTTCCAGATGTTTAGTTCTGAAAATGGGCACTAACAGGAGTCCAGTCCCTGTGCCCCTCAGAGTCCCAGCAGGAGTCAGTCCATGTGCTCCTCAGAGTCCGGGCCGGTTCATATGGGACTAACATGTGGCTTAAGTACTTTGTTGAGAGGCCATGGAGAGACTTGTACAGAAGCAGCGCTGCCTTGAAGTATATTCTCTGAGCCACAGGATAGTGCCGTCCAACACAATGTTAAACTGTAGGCATTTACGAACCTATTGGATTTGTATTGTAAAGTACATTATTTTATACATTTACACCACTCCTAGATTTAAAAAAAGACCAAGCCAATCAAAACTATCAGAGCTGTTTCCATATGTCTTCATAATTCTCAACCGACTTATTTATCAGAGGAAGTCCGAATGTCTTTCTTGAGGCCGAGTGCCATCAGAGACAGATCCCACTCCAGTCCATTTGTGCATAAAAAGGCCTAAACCAGCTCTGACTGGAAGTGTCTCACTGTGGCTCTAAGTGTCAATTACAAGTGATTGAGCTCCCTGACATCCTGTTTGTTGACCGGCCAACCTCTCCAGCCTCTTCAATCAGACTGTTTTACACTGCACCAGCACGTGGCAAAGCTCAGCTTTTCATATCCAACAAAGAAACCACACAGGTACATAGAAACTAAACAAAAACACAACAATCTATTCAAATGAAACTCAAATATTACATCCTATGCACATAAATCCGACAAACTTATGTCAGGTTTGTAACTTATGTTCTACCATGGAATATCTCATTAAAGTGCCAAAATGTCAAGATTTTAGAGGCTTACAGACCCTGTCAGACCCCAGAGATTCACAGTATGTCATGAGTAGCTCAAAGCACATGTTATGTACATGTCTGTGATCGTAACTGTGTGTGTGTTTGTCTTCTGTGTGTGTGTGTGTGTGCGTGTGCGTGTGCGTGTGCATGTGCGCGCGTGTGTGTGTGCAGGTGTGCAGAGGACTCCCCCACTGCCCGCCAGCTGCTGTCCCTTACCCTGGACAGGACCAGCCACACTCTGCTGCTGGCCTTCCCCTCCTGTGTGGTCCGTGTTCCCGTGGCTCGCTGCCAGCTCTACTCTCGCTGCATGAGGTGAGCCTGCACTTACGGACAAATGCTTTATAGCCTTAAGCATAAGTGAGATGACCAGATGACCAGTCCACAGCCATCTGGGCTGCTGTAGGAAGAAGACAGAGTAAGCATCTGGGACAGGAGCTGCTCCTCTGGAGCTGACCTGAACCATTTGTACCATCATCAAACAACACCAAACTCCTCTTCAGTACAACAATGGCTGTCCTTGAACAATCTGGACACAAGCACATTTACAGCTGGGAAATTCACGGTTCATGATTACACAAGACATTTTTGCTGGTGCCAATAGCAGCAGCAATAGCCTCTAGTCTAAGGTACTTCTGCAAAGCTTCAGCAATATCTTTTCCTCATCTCTCCTGATTATTTTTCTATTCTTTAACTGCAGTACTTTGTTTTAACAGTACTCCATCTCTGTCAGGGCTCTATACTTATCTTTTTGTCAATCCACCATTTTGACATTTTGCAAACACAACTCTAAAATTGTTACAGAAACCAATGTTAAGTCATTTGACAATCGCATTGCATTTTGAATAAAAAGACCAAAAAGACCATCTACGTATGTGATAAATCTAATTTTGCATGTCAGTCATATATAAGTTGCCTTTTTGAACCCTAACCCTGAATGTAATTATTCAGCACAAACATCACAACATTTCAGCCATTTGCCTTTTTGCTGAATGCATCCATCGGACATGGCTGTAGTGAACCTTAACAGCCTCTCACCACGTCCTCACATAACTGTACCAGACGTGTGCGCTGAGCCTGCAGACCCACACCAGTGCAGTGCATTAACAAGAGCGATTAGCCGAGGCATTTATGTCATCAGAGAAGTGCATTATTTACAGCCGTATATTTCACAGCCCCAGGTCAAATGTCTGTGTCGGATTTATTTAGAATATTTTTATCCAGGATTCTACACGGTGGCAGTACGCAATAAGTCAGTCCAAGGTAAATGGATCTATTTTGTCACGCTTTACATGGATTTTAATATTTTGACCTATTGTATTGAAGTTTGGGGAAGTGCCTGCAAAACAACGTAAATCAGATTTTTTTCTACAGAAACGAGCCATAAGGGTTGGATATAGAGACGCTATAGAAACTAAAAACACTGACATTTAATGAATTTGGAGAGTATAACTTGCTTAAAATGATGTATAAAGCTCATTGGGAAGGTTTACCCATGAATTTGCAAAACAGATTCACCAAGAGAAGAAGCAGATATGAATTAAAAGGAAAGATTTTTATCAAACCCAGGTTTTAATCGACTTTAAAGGAAAAATCAGATCTCAATCGCAGGAGTCGATCTGTGGAACAGTCTGGATTGTAAAATAAAAACTTCTACGTCCGATTTTGTGTTTAAAAAGTCTGTAAAATCACCAATGTTGCAGAAATACATCACTGCCGATCAGCTGTAATTATAATTGTGCATTAGAGGCTCAAATGCACTGGAACTGTAAATGATTTTGTGTTGATCGGAGCAGATATTATAAGTTTTTACTTCTTTCTGCTCCTTTTCATTCATACTAAAGGCTGTTGTTGCAATAAAACGGATTATTGAGCTTTACAGCATTGTTCCGTCATTAAACAGACTTCAAGTTGTTTTTAGATCTATCCATGTCCGTCTCTATGTACCCTTCTATCTAAAAGCCCCTACAGTATCTCAGCCCTTCAACAACATGATCACCCTTAGAGCAGTCGTCTGCCTTTTAAAACCAAAATTATTGGCTTTAAATGGGGAAATGTATCAGGTAAAATGTTCTTCACGTGTTTGCAGCTAGTAGCTTTCACATCTTTGGAAATAAATAGATAAATTACTCAGTGGTAGCATGAGAAGTAACAGGAGAGAGCATGTTTTACCCATTTGTTTTCATGCTTCACATTTTAAAACAGTAACTCGTCTCTTTATAATTTTACTGGACAAAAATACTGAAAAACCTTAAATATATATGTTAAAATCGTAGTGTTCTGGGAGTATTCTTGCCTGGTATCAAGCTCTCTGCTCGGTTTTCATTTCCAATTGACAGTCGATCCACATGCGTATATATTTGCAGCATGGTGTTAAATAATTTACGTTTCGAAGCGCATGGCCCGCGGGTAGAAGCCGTCCCGGAGTGACCCTGTCCGATCGCACGTCCATGCGCATCAGTCAAACTCTAACACAATTTTTAATCCTGCAGTGCATTATTAAGGCCTCATGGATTGCTTTTCCTTAGTAAAGTATCGATCCCACACTACTTATAGCACAAGAGGCTTCACATGAAAGTCAGAGTATTAACTCATTCACTGTTTGTTTTTGTTGCTCGTCAAGGCTCTTGTGCATCCTGTGTGAACATTGAAGTTGTGTACATAAGACAATCCTTTGAGTGTATTGTGTGTACACGTTTAATTTCTATAAAAATAATTATACATTAAAAATACAATTCTAAGTGATGTTTCGGTTTTGTGTCATAATAAGAAACTGTCAAACGTTGTAAAATATCAGTAAAGAAAAACAAACACTTTTCTGCTTGAAAATGTGCGTTTCACAAAAAGGCTGTTTTCTCCATTGTGCGAAAGTTACCTATGTTGTACTCTCAATTACTAAAAGACTAAAAGGGTATGAAACTTACTTTTTTTTTTTAAATGAAAGCCAAGAGACAGAGCTTTCATTTGGTGTGTTTCATACTTGTGTCAACCAAGGGCTCACATTTATATGAGGTTTGGAAAAACACTAAAAATATCCACATTTTCTGGCAGTATGAGGGATGCTGCTTTATATATGGCTGGCATTGCATTATTAAAGGCCTCATGGATTGCTTTTCCTCAGTAAAGTATCGATCCCACACTACTTATAGCACAAGAGGCTTCACATGAAAGTCAGAGTATCGTCTGCGTTACATCATCATCAGTCCTCTGCGCAGGACAGTCAAATAAACCACACATTTCAGATTCAATTTTGGGCGATAAATGGCTGTAAAGTGTAAGTGGTTTAGTGATTCATCCTCTCTTGTCAAAACATAAGTAGACATTCAAATAGTAGCAGGCGGTGTCACAGATTGCCCAGATGTTGTTATAAGACGACGCACTCTGGGCTCCTCTGCGCACTAAAGTCAGCTTTGACTCAGTTGACAGAAATGTTCTTTGCAATTTGACCGTTGATCACAAAACAGTTCTCCAGAGGCCTTTCGCCAAATGTGATATGAAAGTGCAAATTCAATGAGGTTTTAGAATCAACACAACAGATTGATTATCAAAAAAATAATCAGCCAACTAATCATTAACACAATAATTATTCATTATAGCTCTACAGGTGTTCAAGTGTGTTTGGATGTTTAGCCCCGCCCCCAACTCGCTCACGGGCTTCTCATTTCCCCTACGCTCTCATCCCACGGAGACATCTAGTTTTATTTGCGATCTATGTATGCTAACATTAGCATTAGCGCAACTTAAGCTGCACAACAATCACTGATGAAATGATACAAAAGCAGCGCACGGCTAACAAAATATATAACTGAAAGATTACCGCTAGTTTTACGTCCGAATGTGGTCCGAGTATAGACAGTCCGAGCGTAGATAGTCCGAGCATAGATAGTCCGAGCATAGATAGTCTGAGCCTAGATAGTCCGAGCGTAGACAGTCCGAGCGTAGATAGTCCGAGCGTAGATAGTCCGAGCGTAGATAGTCCGAGCGTAGATAGTCCGAGCGTAGATAGTCAGAGTGTAGATATTCCGAGCATAGATAGTCCGAGCGTAGATAGTCCGAGCGTAGATAGTCCGAGCGCAGATAGTCAGAGTGTAGATAGTCCGAGCTTAGATAGTCAGAGTGTAGATAGTCCGAGCGTAGATAGTCCGAGCGTAGATAGTCAGAGTGTAGATAGTCCGAGCTTAGATAGTCAGAGTGTAGATAGTCCGAGCGTAGATAGTCCGAGCGTAGATAGTCCGAGCGTAGATAGTCCGAGCGTAGATAGTCTGAGCGTAGATAGTCCGAGCGTAGACAGTCCGAGCGTAGATAGTCTGAGCGTAGATAGTCCGAGCGCAGATAGTCAGAGTGTAGATAGTCCGAGCTTAGATAGTCAGAGTGTAGATAGTCCGAGCGTAGACAGTCCGAGCGTAGATAGTCTGAGCGTAGATAGTCCGAGCGTAGATAGTCAGAGTGTAGATAGTCCGAGCGTAGATAGTCCGAGCGTAGATAGTCCGAGCGTAGATAGTCCGAGCGTAGATAGTCAGAGTGTAGATAGTCCGAGCGTAGATAGTCCGAGCGTAGATAGTCCGAGCTTAGATAGTCCGAGCGTAGATAGTCCGAGCGTAGATAGTCCGAGCGTAGATAGTCCGAGCGTAGATAGTCCGAGCGTAGATAGTCCGAGCGTAGATAGTCCGAGCGTAGATAGTCCGAGCGCAGATAGTCCGAGCGTAGATAGTCCGAGCGCAGATAGTCCGAGCGCAGATAGTCCGAGCGTAGATAGTCCGAGCGTAGATAGTCCGAGGCGGTCCCGCAGGTCTCTCCCTCAGACCAGTCTCTCCAGAGGATACGATGTAAGCTAGCTCTGTTCAGGGCTTGGTTTCTTCTTTGATCATGTTGTGGCTTTAGTTCCTCTTCTCTTCCTCACTGTTGTGTGGTTTGGGCTGTTTTGCTGTGTCTGCAGTTACAGCCAGAGGAGTTATAGCCACTTATGCTAACATGCTACTGTGTTTAGCAGCGCTGTAGAGGCTAGAGGACGCAGCCTCGCTCTGTGATTGGAGGAGAGCGGGCGTCACGCTAAAGTCTCTACTCAGCACTTTTTACTGAGTTCATACACAGCTGAATCAATGAGCTCAAGTTATCAATTAAATTACGGATTATAATACAACTTGTATGTAATAAGCATTTTTATGAACTCATTAAAAATAAATCGGGGATAACATCTTTAACATTGGAGCAAACTAAAGCATTATGCACACGGCACATAAAACTAAATCACTTATTAGCCACACAACATGTGAACTGTAATTTAACACATGAATTGATAAATACTCCCCTAAATGTTTACAACAATCAAAATCAAGAATGACTGAGCCCTTTCTGCCTGGAGGCTAATTTGTGCTAATTTATCAACATTTATGGACATTGGTCGAATGTGTTTCTTTCTCTGCATTCCTCGTGTTTGAACAGTTTGATTCAATGATTTTGTTAACTAAGATAACTATTGTTGGGATTCAGACTAAACCATAGCATAGGGGCCTTAAAAGTTGTGAGTTAATTTCAACCTTATTTTAGCTACCTTACTTTTAATCTTGACTTACCAATATGAATTATCTTGATATTTTAACTGATAAGAATGTAGAGATGAATATTGACATTGAATTTCTCCCTCTCTGTGCAGGAGTTGTATAGCCTCCAGAGATCCTTACTGCGGCTGGACCAAAGGGAGCACCTGTTCCTTCCTGCGGCCGGGGACCAGGTAACCCCCCCCCCATCACCCACACCATAGACCACACCATAGACCACACCATAGACCACATAGACCACACCATAGACCACACCATAGACCACATAGACCACACCATAGACCACACCATAGACCACACCATAGACCACATAGACCACACCATAGACCACACCATAGACCACATAGACCACACCATAGACCACACCATAGACCACACCATAGACCACATAGACCACACCATAGACCACACCATAGACCACATAGACCACACCATAGACCACACCATAGACCACACCATAGACCACACCATAGACCACACCATAGACCACATAGACCACACCATAGACCACACCATAGACCACATAGACCACACCACATAGACCACACCATAGACCACACCATAGACCACACCATAGACCACACCATAGACCTGCTGTAGGAGTGGACATCCCCATTGTTTGTTCTAATGCAGAATAAGCTGTTGAGAGTTTAGTTTTGTTTATATATTTTGAACAGTACATTTGGATCAATCCGTCAGCAAACACGCACCATAGCTGAATTGTATCCATTGTCCCGAGGAAAAGAAAATAATAAACATATGAAACATGTTACACATTAATAATTATAATGATAATGATATAATAATAATCTCACATTGTTGTTTTTTTCACATTATTTGGACCAATTAGATGTGAATGGACCATTTCCAAAGGCACACAAACATGTTATGGCACTCTGGTTGAAATCTCACTTCTCATCCACACAGCAGTCCTTTCCCAAACAAATTCTTGTATTTGCTGTCCATTTGTTTTTCGCTCCTCGCACCAAGGTTACCTACAGTACACCTGAGGAGGAGACGACGCATATATTATTCATGTGTGCTGGTCCTTGTTTGTGTCCGGGAGTGTTCGCACCACTGTCGAACATCTGTGCTTCTAAGTAGCCTGTCACACACTCCGCCCGGGGCACACTTATCGATTCAAGATGTCCGCCGCTTCTGCTGCAGTTAAAACAAGCCTGTGTTCTTTCACTTAAGCTCCGATCAAGTGCTGCCACATGACGCGCTATTTGTGGCTGTGGGTGGCATGCTCCGGCAAAGTGAGCTTGTCTGGGGTGTTGCTCAAAGGCTGCAGTGCACTATGGGGGCCAATGAAGGCTGGAGGCGTGCCAAGAATAGTCCGGTTGATGATCGGTCACAGGCTCTGTTCTTTTTAGCCATTTGTAAACTCCGGTCAATTATTCTTTTCTTACATGTACGTCTGGGTCTGATCTTTGTGGCTGGTTGTAGTTTGGCAATGGCGGCGAATGTGATAGTATATTAATCCATTCTGGTTCGGCTGAAAATACCAAGAAATTGAAGCCGGAGCAAGTTTCATTGCTGAAAAGATGTTGTAGCTTTCCTCCCTGTAAGCGCCATTTATACATGTTTACTGTATTTACATAATTTACATGTCATGATTATTATTTGATTTAATTTAGAAAATGTCATGACAATATGACTGTAATGAGACATGATTTGAGTGAGTACATGGTTTGGACACACACCATGCTCTTATGTTGTTGTCACATTATGCTACACAACAAAGTCTATATAACGTCTGTACTTTTAAAAAATAACAAGAGAAGGTTAGAGCAACACAGAAGTTTTACCGTCTGCATCTAACGCGTGAAAACAGAATCATTTACAGAAGAGGGTAAATTTGAAACTAAAATGAAATGACCACAAGATTAGCCTCTACACTCCCCATGGGCTCCGTTAGTAGCAAAGGAGATGGCTAAAGCTAGGCTAAATGCTAATGCTAGGCTACATGATAAAGGCCTCACTCACTCGGGCTCATTACATACTTCACGGTAAACTCAGATCCTATCCAATCCAATCCAATCCACTTTATTTATATAGCACATTTAAACAACAGTTACGTTTCCAAAGTGCTGCACAAAAAAAAAAAAAAAAGTATAAAATAAATAACAACTTCTCCTTAGCTTCACCAAGTAAAAAAGAATAAAAATATATCAAACAGATTAAAACCATAAATAAAAATAAAATAAAACCACAGAGGACCACACGACTCACGCAGTGTTAAAAGCCAAAGAGTAAAAGTGGGTCTTAAGACGAGACTTAAAACACTCTATCGTTTCTATCTGCAAAAGGACTTAACCCCTCGCACCTGTTAACGGAGTCAACGGAGCAAAGCCAGACCTTAGAACGACATGATATCAGTACAGTGGTGTGGTAAGACCAGGCTCGCTCTGTGCATGTTGTAGAATCTATTCTAGTTGGAGGGCATGTGTCAATACAACTCTATGGGAAAGAAACTCATCATTTAATAGTCATTAGATTAACAAACATATTATTTTTGTCTCCTATCTCTGCCCTGTATTATTATGATGTCGTTAATACTCTGAAATCACACTCAGAGCAGTATTCTCTTTTAAAATCAGGGAATTGTGAATAAAACAAAAAAACTATTTCAACTCACCAATCACTAACTTTACTGCATATATACAAATCTCCTGGTTATCATGCCAATTAACAAACAAACCCATAACGAGCCACATGTGTCAATGATTCTAACAAAATAACAAAATGCAGCTTGGGCTCTGAAACCTGTTAAATGCACGTAAACAAATGGGGCGGCACGGTGGCTGAGTGGATAGCACTCTTGCCTCTCAGCAAGAAGGTCCTGGGTTCGAATCCCGGTTGGACCAGGGCCTTTCTGAGTGGAGTTTGCATGTTCTCCCCGTGTCTGCGTAGGTTTCCTCCGGGTGCTCGGGTTTCCCCTACCACTAAAAATATGTACAATAGGTCTGGCATGCGCCTCCTGTACTGGCCCCGCTCCCAAAAATAACAATTGTAAATCGCTTTGAGACTCCGATGTGGGGTGAAAAGGCGGTATATAAATAAAAATAAATAAAAAAAAGCTTACAAATAATAATGTGGGATGTACTGTATGGACCACAACTTTGAACTGCTGGAAATTGTAAGAACAAAATCTCTTTAGGCCATAAAACCAGTGCAGACTCTTTTAGATACACCTATAATTCAAACAAGTGTATTGTGTGGAGGGTTGACTTTTAAAGCATTGCACATAATGAATGCATTCAGGTTCCACTCCTCTGGGATATCTGAACTCTAAAGTGCTCCTGCATCTCTGAGCCGCTGCGTTGACCACCCGCGCTCCTTCAAATCAAATCTCTCTTTAGGCAAGGCAAGTTTATTTATATAGCACAATTCATACACAAGGCAACTCAAAGTGCTGAACAAAACAAGAAAGCATTAAAATCATAAATAATCACAGAACATTAAAAAGAAAGATACAAATATAAAATCCCTCAGTTGTAGCACAGCTGAACAGAACTGTCTTTAACCTGGTTTTAAACATTGTCAGAGAGGAGGCCTGTCTCACATCTTCAGGAAGACTGTTCCAGATTTTAGCAGCATGAATCTGAAAAGCAGCCTCCCCATGTTTAGTTCTGACTCTGGGCACTAACAGGAGTCCAGTCCCTGTGCTCCTCAGAGTCCCAGCAGGAGTCCAGTCCCTGTGCTCCTCAGAGTCCCAGCAGGAGTCCAGTCCCTGTGCTCCTCAGAGTCCCAGCAGGAGTCCAGTCCCTGTGCTCCTCAGAGTCACAGCAGGAGTCCAGTCCCTGTGCTCCTCAGAGTCCCAGCAGGAGTCCAGTCCCTGTGCTCCTCAGAGTCCCAGCAGGAGTCCAGTCCCTGTGCTCCTCAGAGTCCCAGCAGGAGTCCAGTCCCTGTGCTCCTCAGAGTCCCAGCAGGAGTCCAGTCCCTGTGCTCCTCAAAGTCCCAGCAGGAGTCCAGTCCCTGTGCTCCTCAGAGTCCCAGCAGGAGTCCAGTCCCTGTGCTCCTCAGAGTCCCAGCAGGAGTCCAAAGTCCCAGCAGGAGTCCAGTCCCTGTGCTCCTCAGAGTCCCAGCAGGAGTCCAGTCCCTGTGCTCCTCAGAGTCCCAGCAGGAGTCCAGTCCCTGTGCTCCTCAGAGTCCCAGCAGGAGTCCAGTCCCTGTGCTCCTCAGAGTCCCAGCAGGAGGCCAGTCCCTGTGCTCCTCAGAGTCCCAGCAGGAGTCCAGTCCCTGTGCTCCTCAGAGTCCCAGCAGGAGTCCAGTCCCTGTGCTCCTCAGAGTCCCAGCAGGAGTCCAGTCCCTGTGCTCCTCAGAGTCCCAGCAGGAGTCCAGTCCCTGTGCTCCTCAGAGTCCCAGCAGGAGTCCAGTCCCTGTGCTCCTCAGAGTCCCAGCAGGAGTCCAGTCCCTGTGCTCCTCAGAGTCCCAGCAGGAGTCCGGTCCCTGTGCTCCTCAGAGTCCCAGCAGGAGTCCAGTCCCTGTGCTCCTCAGAGTCCCAGCAGGAGTCCAGTCCCTGTGCCCCTTAAAGACCTCCTCAGACTGCACACCGCCTCTGTGTGACCCCTGATTCCATTTACCAAGATCCTGCATTGAGTTACCGAGGATGTCCGCTTGGTTGACTCCGTGCTGCAGGAGGATTATGAAATGGCGTTCTAATTTTGGCACGGTGTAGACAGTGCCTGATCAAAGACATGTAGATTGTTGTGTGGGTTGAGATATGTAGATAAGTGTGCTGAGAGTCGCACATGTGTGATAGGGCCTTGGCATCTGGACCCGAGTCTTTTGGGCGTGTTGTAATTACGGAGAGGTTAAAAGTGCGAGCGTTTGTGGTGGGGGCTGTCACTTGGGAATCGTGTTTCGTAGTCCAAACATATTTATCTTGCATTTGTTTACCAACCGATAGGGCTGAAACAATTAGTCGGCTAATCACCACAATAATTAAGCATTGTTAAATTGTGATGACTGTCATTGTTAACTTAAGGCTTGAAGAATGTCTTTCAAAAGTCCATTTACGTCTGATTCTGATACAGACAGGGTGAGATATATTATTAACACTTTATTTTAGCACCCACTAACTAACAGCTAATTAAGTGCTAATTAGTGTATTCATGTTTGGTTAATTAGCTCTTTATCTGTATTTATCAAGCACTTATTAGTCATT